TAGTATTTAGGGCCCCACCACTCAGGGGTGGGGGCCTGGGGGGGACAGAAGTTCCCCCCCTATTGTTTTTTTTAGGGCCCCCACCCACTGCTCAGGGGTGGGGGCCGGGGGGAGGACAGTAGGTCCCCCCCCATATCATTGAGTTAACTTTGACAACCCCCCCCCCGCACGGCGGGTGGGGGGGTTGTCAAAGTTAACTCAATGATATGGAATAGGCGGCGGACCGAACATCGCATATGTTCGCCCGCCGTGGCGAACGCGAACATGCGATGTTCGCCGGGAACTGTCCGCCGGCGAACTGTTCGGGACATCTCTAGTGGGGGATCTAGACACCATTGAGCAAACATATGTGCTGTGTGGCCATTGCATTTAAAATGAAAAATTTTGCTAATTTTGCATTAAGCTTGAACACTCCTCCGCGGAACCTATTCAGATTATTTAGAAAGCGTTCTGGGACAATACAGTGAGTATATTGCAAATAACAATGTGACACAAATGCTTCAAAGATGGTTGAGAATGTATTGAAAGATTGGGTGCCCTGTGATTTCAGAGACCATTGATGAGATTCAGGTAAATAGAACAAGGCAGCTGATGGCAATTCCAATAAAGGAGTTTGCAGAGTGGAAGAGACACTTGGAGAATTGTGTGAGGTCCAAGGTACAAATGCATAACGCTTATTAAATTGAAGCCTGAGTGACAAGTGACCAATAGTGTGAAAAAAGGGGGGACCAATAGAAATCTATATTTATATATTTAGGATTACATGGATAATATATAAATATAGATTTTTTTTTTTTTATTGCTCTTACTTTTGAAAAAAATTAACAAGTTCGTCCATTGTGCAAATTATTTTTTGTGATTAAACTATATGGCAGTTAGAAAGTCAGGAATTCGGACTATCACATGATCGGCTGAAATTTTGACAAATTTAAATTTGTAGGTGTCACGATATCTGTCCCTCGCAGCACCATGTGGTCACGGAAGTTATGTCTCTTCTGTGTTCTCATGTACCTGAAACATTCCTTACTTGTCAATAGCTTTCTGGTGCTTTATTCTAACATGGAACCCTTTCATTGGTCTCCTTTTATATGGTCAGTCTGTGTGGCACCTTTTGATGATGTGTATACACTTCTGACATCATAGGCCTGGGTAACCAATCACAGCACAGTATAGGGTACATATATTTCCTGGCTATCTTTGCTGTAGTTTTTTTTTACCCAATAGTGCATTTTTAGTGTGTATTGGATTTACTGTTTTCTGACATTATTTGATCATTCTTGCTCTCTGTTATCCTGACCTTGGCTTGATTCTGTGTATCTCTGTTATTCTAGATCTTAACCTGCCTTTCATTTACTTTCTGTCTACTTGCAGACATTTCATTTATCTGTTTTAGTTAGTAGCCCAGCCACTCTAAGGAATGGTAAGTGTTCCGTGATGGTTTGCATGCTAGGGCATCACCATTTCTGACAGCATAAAATAAATGTCCAGGTCTAATGCTATCCTAGATATCATTGTGATAGAAAAACCGGAATAAAAGAAAATGGATAGAAGGGGAAGAAAAGTAGAAGTTAGGAAAGAAAATTTAAAGTAGGGCCAGAGAGGAGAGAAAGGTCAGAACACTAAAAATGTGTGCTAAAATAATGAGACATCCAGAAATTCCATATTTTAAATAACAGCTCCAATGAGATATGTATGAGAATAGCTAGTCATTTCATGTGCCAAATGTTTGTAACCTGAGGGAATGATGGTAATGGGCTCTTTCATGGGAGTAAGTACCAGAATGCAATGGTCTTATAACTACCTTCTTTAAAATGTACATTGTTTGAATCACTATGGCCAATTCTTGGATAAAATCTCTGATGATGGACTGCCTGGGTTTTTCTAAGTTGATGGAAAAATAAGGAATTGTTTTAGGTAACTAGAATTCCCACAGATGTCAGGCCGTCTTACTTCCACCACCCAAAACATTTTTAACTTCTGGATAAATATTTCTCAAGCACATCTCAAAAGAAATCACATATTATATGGTGTGTCTCTTAAAAAATAAGTAGAAAAATATCCACTTTATTAATCCTTAGCAGAATATTGCTGACTATGTAATGCAGACATTCCTGCATTGTAGTAGATTACCAGGACATAGGACTTCAGTGATAACATAAGCATTGAAAGTTGTTTGTTATAAATCAGAAATAGTGGAACAGAGATACACATTTCTTATTCATATAGAAAACAATTCAGAACAGCCAGAAACTACAGTGAAATAAGATTGTTATAAACTTCTATTAGTGTCAAGAAGAAAGCAGAAACCTAACCAATGTAATGCCTGCAAGACTTACACAGAGATCGTATAAGTGAAATATTTGTAAAATGCTGGCAAATCCATTGATGGACGTGATATAGTTTTTTATTATCTGTTCTTTATTTTACCCATGTCTCTGTGAAGGCAGTGTCTTATTACATCTTTGTTATCCCTCACAAAGGAAACAC